TCATAATTTAAAAAAGAGTGTTAAAAGGAAAATGTCTACTGATGAAGTGAGAAGAGGATTTTCTGGGCATTTTTCTGCCTAGGGGGATGTGAAAGAGATCGTATCTTAAATGGTTCTGAAGGAAATTGAGGAGAAAAGCATCTAAGGGTGGTTCAGTTTGAAGGTTGTTTGGAGGAAAGGCTCTCGTGTTTGACTTTATGATTGAGAAACCCTGTGATTGATGCAGAAGACAGAGAATTATTTTAGAGTAGTAGAAGTTGATGCAGAAGGAAGGAAATAACTAAATTTGTCCTTCATGTGATCAGAAAAATGTCCTGTTGGTGAGACCTGCCTGACTGAAGGAGGTGTGGGAGAGAAGGGGGTAAAGTACCCACTTGCAGAGGGTTGTTTAAAGCAGGACCAGGGGAAACCACAAGAAAGGTACTGGGAGGAACCTGTGAAAAAATAGATTTCTCTGATATAATGATGACAGCCAGAGTCTTAATGCAGACCCAGTTGTCCGCAAATGTGTTTCCTTTACCAATATACCTCATTCCTCTGAAGGGTTTTGTAGCCTCCTTGTGCTGTGTGAGGTGCTTCTCCTCAAGGAGGGTTCACCCTGTTGTCCAGGCATTTCCATAGGACATTGGTGTTATTCCTTAGTCACGATACCGTGGCTCAGGCTCACGCTCTCTGCACTTCTCATTTCACCCCTTCCCTACCCCTTCTTCCAACTTTTGCTCTCTCACTTATTACTCTTGCTTCTTGTTTCTCTGTGCTGAATTTTAAGTATGACTTTAACATATTTTTGACTTAGACAGTATGTCCTCTAAGTGTTTCCTTGCATTTCTGCAGGAAACCATTTGGCCATATAGAAATGAAAACTCAGGTTCCGCTCCCCAAGAGTTGGGCTTTTCAGTAAAAACAGGAAGGACTCAAGAATCATGGTTACACAGCATCTCTTCCAGATCTGCTCTGAGCAGGAGGTTGGACCAGGTGATCTCCAGAGATCCCTCCCAAGCTGGTGCCATTGTCAGGAGCAGGGAGGAAAGGGCTGCAGAAGCACCGGGGGCAATGGTGTCCTTGATGTGGAAGAAGAAACCCGCATGAGTCAGAGGGTTCCCCCGGGGCACAACTGGGGCCTCGTGAGCCGGACAGGGCTCTTCTCATCTCATTTATCATGCTGGAAAAGAAAATGCAACAAAATGAAAGTGTGCTTGGAAAAAAAAACTTGAATGTAATAAGGGTTCTGGATTTCTCCCTCTTTGGTTGCAATTGACCTTTTGTCTTTCTCTATCCTCTCGTTTTTTTTTTTTTTTTTTTTTTTTTTCTTCTCTTTTA